CAGTAACTGTTACGATCGGGCAATGGACCCCGAGAAGGTGAAAGGAAAGCTTGTATACTGCGAAGATTTTGTTGGTTCAGCCGATTACAGTGTGCAGAAAATGGGAGGGGTTGGAACCATACTAGAATCAGATAATGCCATTTTTGATGCTGCCTTCATTTTCATGCCACCATCGACCATGGTAAACCATAATCAAGGGAAAATAATAATGGACTACATAAATTCCACAAGGTACGTAAATTCATGAAACCAAGCTCTATATAATACATTGATACTGTGTGTACTACTGTTTTCCCTTTCTTGCTCTGTTCAATTAACAGAACAACAGTGCTGACTTGTGTCATTAATTTCAATCTTYTGTTAATTGGGTGCAATTGTTCTAGTTCCCCCAAAGCCGTGATATTCAAAACCCAGGCCTTCAAAGTTGCTGCTCCATCTGTGGCTTCCTTTTCATCTAGAGGACCTAATCCTGTATCAAACAAAGTTCTAAAGGTAAAAGAAATGGGGCGTACATCAGATCTCCTTTATTGTAGAAAACTCATCATTCACCATCATCATGCAAGAAATTTATTTCTAGCTTTTGCCATTAACAATGACATCATTCTCTTGCTAGATATTGTGTGTGGCAATTAAATGGGTCACTTCACTTATTATTTCTTTGATGAATGATGTATCGATATTCCTTCTGATCTCATATTTTCTCAATTCATGATGAACATTCAAATTAAACAGCCTGATATTGCTGCTCCAGGTACCAACATCTTGGCTGCCTACACCGGAATCGTGTCAATTTCCGGCTGGCCAGACGATGATCGGTTTTCCAATTTCATAACGATGTCTGGTACATCCATGGCCACGCCACATATAAGTGGGGTGGCTGCCTATGTCAAATCAATGCACCCAACTTGGTCACCGGCAGCCATCAAATCAGCCATCATGACAACTGGTAAAACACTCTTACGCCTTCTTTCTCTCTCGCTGATCATCTTCAACGTAACTGTATTCTTCTAATGCAATTAAATATGYATGTTTTGTATTAATCAGCTACGCCAATGAGTTCTACTGTCAACCCAGAGGCCGAATTTGCGTATGGTGCTGGTCAGGTGAACCCACTGAAGGCAGTCTCACCTGGGTTGGTCTATGACATGGATGAAATGCAATACATTGAGTTCTTATGCACAGAAGGTTACAGCGGAACAGCCCTAGGCATGATAATTGGCTCAAACCCTCTCGACTGCTCTTCACCTCCATCATCAGAAGCTGGACAAGATGCCCTCAACTACCCCACCATGCAGCTAACTGTGGATGGAGCCACTGAGCCGGTAACTGGTGTGTTCCGAAGGACTGTCACTAATGTTGGGTTGGCAGACTCCATATACACTGCCACCATAAATGCAGCACCTGGTGTGGAGATCACAGTCGAGCCCATGACTCTATCATTTTCTAGCATCGGTGAGACGCAGAGCTTCATTGTGTCGGTCAAGGCGAAACCCAAGAATGATGAGAGCATTCTTTCAGGGAGTTCGTTAGTGTGGAGTGACTCTGTCCACACTGTTAGAAGCCCAATTGTCATTTACTATCCTTAGCTTTCTCCCTTTGTTTTTATTTTAATTTGTAAATCTGTGTAGGGTTCTTTTTTTTTAGTTAGGTGGTTGAAGGCTAGGTTCATTGGATTTTTCTTTTTTTTTTTATTGAATTTTATACATATTTGAAAGTATATGTTAAGTTTAAATAAAAGGATTATTTATCATTTTTTTTTAATTTTTTTGTTATTGTGATTACAGACATGGTTTGATGGAGATTAACAAAATATGTCTAGTACAATGTATAGAGTTGGTTGTTCTCTCTGATAAAAGCTTTTAGATGAGATGGTCCAATATATATATGTGAGGCTTGCACTTGAATCCATTTAATCCATTCATCTATTGTAGAAATACCCTAGACTGGAAATCAGATCAACTGATGTTCCAAACCATTTATTCTATTTTCAATGGCCAAAAAATTGCAAAAGTGGATGGGAACAAATCTATTTACAAAGATCATCATCATCATCATTTGTTCCTCAAATTAATCTTTGTCGTCCAATTTATACTACTTGGGCATTTTTCTTCTTTTAGAAAGAAAACTCTCTTGATCCACACATGTAGTTGAAGTGGCAATTTTTCAACCCAACCCACTAACCTGTCCAGTCCAACGCAACTATTAATTGATGTGTTGGGTTATATCCATTTAATCTGGATCATTAGCGGGTTGGATAACCCAATGAAAAAAAAAGAAGAATGACAGTTCAGCCCAGGGCAGATTTTTTAAGCCTAGAGTACGGTTGGGGTGGGTGTCAACTCGGAATTGATGCTAGTTCATAGACTGGTATTGGTGTACAGAGTGTGAGTTTTTTATATTTTGAATGTTTATATCTCTGAATTGGAAATCAGAAATCTGCATTGGATCTGTCCATACTTTTCCAAAAAAAATAACGGTTTGGGTGGATTGGATTATGGGTCCCCAAGGATGTTGAAAATGGGCTTTAATTCATTTCATTTTTTCGTTCCTTAATTCTGTGCTTGGCTTGAAATTAAAGGTAAGGGAAGAGAAGGGAAAAGTATGAAAACCTGTACAAGATTTCAAACGAAATAGAGAAATACAGCCCAACTGAAAAGTAAGGCTTGGGCCTGGTTGAATGAATACTTAGTCTGAGCAAAGGAGAATCATCTATTTTTGCCCCTAATTGGTGTCAAATTGGGTTTTGGACTTCTAGGTCCTTTCCAACTGTCCAAGCCAAGTCTATGTCACCTTCTCTCTTCCATCCCTAGGGTCCTAAACTCCTATACATCATTTTGATTTGAGACCATTAACAATATTTGATTTGGTTTTCTTTTTTATTTTCAATTTCAGCAATCCTTTTTGAACTTCAAACATACATATATCCATGAAAATATTAATTCGATGCATTGTGCATTTGTGTGTTTATCCGATCCGTAACAGAGATATTGAAGTTGCCATAATGCCCTTATGGCCATAAGGCATTCGAGGCAGAGGGTGATCATGTACTAGGTCGGGCATTACACCTGTGATAAGGGCTCGGTTCCGGGCCTATAATTTTGACTATTTTATATTATATGTATATAATATTTGCATAAAACTTAATTGTATACATTGTAATAATATAAAGTATGAATGATAATAACAATAACAGCAATATAAAATATGAATTATATGATACTTGTATACAATGGAACATAAAAAAGTATATATAAATATATAAAATATTACTATATGGGAGTCGAACTGGGCCTGAACACAAAACCTAAGCCCAATCCCGAAATTTCAGGCGGGGCTGAAAACGATCACCCCTAATTAGAGGACAAGAATAGAGAGGGTGTATATACTCTAGCCCTACATCAATCTATAATCACTTTCTACTCCGATTTCATTGTCTTGATGATATTGAGAAGCTTTGTCCATTTTGACTTCGTATGGCCTCCCCATCTCTATTTTCTTGTATAATTTCATTTCTTATCCATTCTCGCTTATCATTACTTCATTTTGGCTTATCAATGTTCTGCAATTTCATTCAACGATAAGCATCTTCATATCATTCTATTGTTTGATTTTGTTTTGGTCCAATCGTTGGTTTACCTTTTACTATAATGATCTGCATTTTCTAAATCTTAGGTGCTGTTTGGCATGTCTTTTTAGGAAGATCTTTCGACACCCTAAATGGCCAAAAGATGTGATCAGCTTTTGAGGTCTTGTCTTTAAAGATATAGACAATTTGGTATGTATCCTATATTACCATGATCTAGAGAGTCGTTAAATGAAAGATTTTAGGTGTAGAAAGACATATCTCACAGAGCTTCTCTTGAAGTTTCCAAATTGTTGGCCATTTTGGGCTTCCATGAGCTTTTTAGGGCATGTCTTTTTGGCTTCTTGTATTTCATTGCCAAATAGAGAAAAACCAAATTTTGGTCTTCAAAACTTTGAAAAGTTCAAAAGGCTACTTGATAAGACTTGCCAAATGCCTCATTAATTTTTAGGTATTTCGTGGGATTCAGTGAAGCTCTAACGATGAGTGAGATGGAACTTGAGCTATATGTTAGTTGATTGCAACAACTATTATGATCAAAACTTGTTGATTACGTGTTCTAACTCATTGGCAAGGTGCGTAGAAGTTGTGGTTAAAGCTTGGAATGGAGAGGAGATGGGATCTCCTAAAAGCAAAAGTCGTGAAACACCTTGAGAGCACAACTTCCAATCATATATAGATCTCCTATGAATTTAACATATAAGTATGGATGATATTCCCAATGTGCAGATGTATGCCATGTTCTCAAGGTGTGTATGATGAGGTCCATCTGCCTTGTCCAATCTTGACCTATCACATGTCCTTGAACAAAACGCTCGAGGAACTCATTGATAGCCCTGACCAACCTAGCCAATCAACCTGACCAACTAGTTTCATTTGAATGCTTCCGACGTGCTTAGACCCTAATAAGGACAACCAATGAGAAGCTCGGGCTGAGCCCATTAATCGCAACCTAGTAGTATTAGTTAGAACTCCTTGACGAGCATGGAACCTTCTCTATAGTAGGTGAGGTCCCCTTGGGAAAAGGTACACACATTATAGCCCTATCTCGTCTTTTTTGCTTTCCCTACCAACCTAACCTCCTCTGCTAGGTTAGGTGATGCTTTTTCACTTATTAACTTATGCATTGAAGAGTTCTCCCTTATGGGTCTTGTTGAACCTACGTGTCTTGATGATAAAAAAACATATTGAGAGTACTAATGTTGTATCCAAGTGTGCAACATCTTTAGTAAGCTTCTTTGTACTTAATGGGTATAAAAGTTAGAATGCTACAATTGATGAAGTGGAAGCACTTCTGAGTTCATTGGCATACCAATTGACTAATAATGAAGAATCAATCAATTAGGAGAGGAAAAGGATTCCTCCCTTCATATTATTGTCAACTATTAGAATTGCACAATCACATACTACAAGAAATTTGATTGTTAATTTAAAGGCTCCAATGACTACTACTAATTTTTAAAAAGCTGTCTAATATATTAGAGGAAATTTGAATAATTTACTGAGAAGGTAAAAACCATATAATGGAAAAAAAAATGGTCACTTGCTCTCAAATCCTCTATAAATAGAGGACTTTATCTTGATTCAAAGAACAAAGAAGCAAGATCCAAGTTTGAATCCAAGCTTTTGAAAAATAACCTATCTATTCACTTGTACATAGGAGAGGTCCTTTATGTTGTGGCTAGTCTAAAGGAGCTCATGTTGATCCAAAAATAGGAAGATGACTTGAACAATCTGATTAATGCTGAGATTTAGGTTAAAGAATATTTTTTCAAGGCCAAATTGATTGAGGTTGGGCTAAGCTAGGAAAACTTAGGTAGATACATGTGTTGAGCCGTCTAGTTTAGACTTGTGCTTTTTCCAACTTTCTTCATATTCTAGTATGGACTCCAGTTTCTTTTGTTGATGCAGACATGGCTAATGTTACAAGTCTGCAAGTCAAGATGTGAACATAGAAGAAGAAGGCTTCTAAGGGAGACACCAATACTTCGAGAGCTTGGTCTCCATGCTCAACTATAATGCCTCGACAATAGAGGCCTAGAGAGAGTGGAGATTTCAAATGATGAGCCTATTGTTTATGAAAAGGCTTAGTGGGAGGGAACCCTATTGGTGCTAGATTATTGGACATACATGTTAGAGTGGCACATGACCATAGGCAACAATATTCAAAGCATATTGGACACGGGTATAGAAGGATCTTGGAGGTCGGTAATTCATCTTTCTTTGTCATTATTTGAGTTCACTATGGTGCTAATTTATTTGTTCTTTATAGGGGGATTATGCGGTGAATTAGGGCTTGCCATGAGCTAAGCTTCTCACAAGCTATTCGATCTTGGCTCATAAAAACTCGGCTCAGTTTAAACCAAGCTTCGAGCCAAGCTCGAGCCTAATGAAGCTCGGCTCATAAGGCTCACGAGCCTAGTATAATAAATAAATAAATTTTATTACATACATACATACATATACATATACATATATAAATATATATAATAAATAATTTTTATAATTCTTAATTTTTTTATGTAAAATAAAAAAATTATATGTATAATTTTTATTTAAAAAAAAACTTGGCTTGTAGTTGAGCTCAAGTCGAGCAGAGCTTGAACTTAAAATAGTTTCAACGAGTCGAGCTTGAATAGCCAAGTATTCGGCTTGGCTTGGCTCGAACCCACCCCTACAGTGAATGCCTTGATTGACCAGTTCACCCAAGTATCTCGCTAGTACAATGTGGCAATGAAAGAAAGGGGTGGTTTTGAAGACAAGGTGGTGAGGATAAAGGGTGAGTTGTAGGAGGCCAATCGAAAGCTAAGGTTGGTCAAGGATGAGGCTTGGGCTACCAATGAGGTGGTCATTGTTGCACAGGCTCAGAGGGAGGAGGACCAAGTTCAAGCCATCATTGAATGCAAAGAATCTATCGAGCACTAGAAGAATCTAAATACACATGGAATTAACACCTTCTTGGAGAGTTTTGACCCTAGACCTGTTCACAAGTCAAGCTTGATT